GTCGGTGACTGCAAGAGTCTCCAGCGGGGTGGAGATAAGAATGAGAGTGGTCTTGCATACACGTAAACATATTGCTCCAAGAGAACATTATAAGGAGATCATGCATAAAGCGAGCGATGAGATATGAGAGTGCATGGTGGTGAAAGAAATGGGGGATGAAAAAACAGTAGAGCGTCTTACGTCACTGCTTCGCACCTGTCGGAGCGGGCATGAGTCGGATGACAAGTGAGTGACAGAGACACTACCTCGGCCTCTAGTGCTTCTGAATAATCTCATGCAATGAGGTGCAAGCCAACTATGTTTTTAGTATACTTGTCCTACCTCTTAGGTGGGGTCCCGCGCATTCCGCATGACCAATTTATATCAAAACACCTGGGCATCAGTGACGTGAAAGATGCTCTGATGAGTCTGATCAAACGAGTGCTTCCTACAGCTATCGTTTTACTTTTCATGCGGCGCACACATCCTTACTAGCATCCTCCTTTACCACGTCCGATGCCTTCTCTGAGACCATGAACGTCGACACCACAGGGAATATGCCAGGAATCCTAGGGAACGTCGATGCGTCCACAACCCTTAGACCCTTGACACCTCTCACTCTGAACCTACTGTCCAGCACAGCCATCGGATCACCGTCCTTACCAATAGCCGCTGTGGACGTAGGATGATGGCCAAAGGTTTGACCAGTAATCCAATCTTCGTCCGTCTGTCCACAGTAGCCATCTGCGTCTGGGGCTGGACACGGCGGCTCCTTTGTAGCGACAGTCACTCCTTTCGCGGAGCTGTATATCTTGCGGGCCCAGGCGATTGTGTCTTTCATTGCGCCCATGTCGGTCTCCTTCCCTTCTTCGTAGAGCACTGTGATAGAGTTAGAGCACGTCAAATCAAGACCGGCCATGTACTTACTGAAGTTGATATCCGGCATGTCTTGGGGGTTTGCTGACACCAGTCTCACGTACCCCTTTCTATTCTGTGGATGGTTCTTCACCATGGATATTCCATACGTGCCAGCGGCTTCGGCAGGTAGGGCATTGTTTGTTTGATTTGAGGGCCAGAAACCTCGGAATGCAAAGCCAGGGCCCTGCATCATGAACATGTCGCGCTCACCATCTGGCGAGTGCTTAGTCGTGTGCATGGCAAAAGCCTGTGAGAAGCTCCCTCCATTGCCGCTAATGATACCGATTATTGGCATTTCCTGGTTGTCCTGCATGTTGCGGCCAACCCCTTGAGCGTCAACAACGAGGGGAATGTTGAATTCGGCGAGATGTTCCTTAGGGCCTATTCCGGAGAGCATTAGTATCTGGGGGGTATTGAACGTTCCACCAGCAATGATGACCTCTTTGCGAGCCGTAGCAGTCTTGAGCGTGCCTTTACTTGACTCTATGTATCTCGCGTCTGCTTTGTACAGGGATTTGCCAGAAAGGTATTCGACGCCCGTAGCTCGGGGCTGACCGCCGCAAGATGTACCGTTAGAGAACAGGACCCGGGTGACAAGGCTGTTTATAGCGAGGGTCAACGGGAATTTTGCTTTCATAGTGTCTTGAATGTAGTCTCTGGCGCTGAAGCGCTCGCCTGAAGGTTTTGTGTGTGTGGGCAAGCCCCAGATACCGGTCGTCCAGTCACGCTTTGGGTCCAGGAAGTTGGCATCACCACCCATCATCGAAGTCACCTGGGCCTGGTCCGTGGCCAGCGAGTAGTTCTGGGCGATCGCTTGCATTATACCAAGCTTTCCGTCAAGAGAGAATAGTCAGTGAGATGTCCTATAATGAGTTTGGAACCGTTACACTCACCATTGGCTGTGTTACGCTCGCTGGCTTGTTCATGTTCGTTTGGAAGTAACCGTCAAAGCCATGGCCTGCAGTGCCCTTCGACAGATAGTTGTTTTTCTCGATACGTACGAAGTACTTGCGCATGTTTTCCGCGCTGGTTGACAGTGAGTGACCTGTCGTGTGTTCTTCAGTTTTCCAGGAGACTTACGCCCAAGACGCGTCGCCAGTAACATTGACAATGTAGTTCCAGTCCGAATCCGATGGAAGCCAAGTGCACATAGCATTGATCATGCTTGAACCGCCAACTGTGGCTCCCCGAGGATAGTAGACTCCAAGGAACTTGGCATCGGCAGGAGGTGTGTCAGTCCCTGCTCCGACCCAATATCTTCCATTCGACAACTTCCAGGTCAATTTGTGGTTCATCATGTTTCTCTTCTCATCAGCATAGTGCTTGACGAAAAAGTCCCAAGTAATCTGTGGTGGATACTGTCCAGAAGCACCCTGTGTGCTAGAGTCTCCGGCTTCGATGAGCAAGACCGAATAGTTGGCCCGAGCAAGGTTGGACGCAAGGGGACCTCCCCCCGGTCCACTACCGACTACGATGTAATCATACTGATCTTGAGCGGCAACTGAGGTGGCGAGAAAGATGCTGGCGAAAAGGAACAAAAGAGCTCGAGAGAAGGAACCCATGACGGCGAAAATTATGATCGATGTCTCCTCTGGAGAGACGCCTCACACGATTAGAGGCCAAGGAAAGAGAAATTGGGATCAATCACAGCATATAAGCTTCGACAGACGTCCCCAGTAGACGCTTTGCCGAGCCGTCATGATGCAAGCGTTCTGGGGTTGTATTGCGCCAAGCTTGACAGTCCGTATGAAAGTGTGGGGAATGTGGTCCTCGATGAAGTCACAAATCTAAATGTCTTGTCCAAAGCTCTGATATTTTGCCGAAAAAGCACAACAGGAAGAGACCGCTGGTGTGACCGTGGCCAATCTCTCGCGTTGCTGGTACTCCGGCTCTAAGCACATGGTTAGTAGGGCCATTTTATCGCTTAGAGCCGGAGAAATCAGGTCTTCGTGAGAGGCTGGCGAAGGTCCTAGATGCGCCTTTGAAGCATTGCCGATGTCTCATGGTTGTGCAACGGCCCGATTCAAGAAGCTGCTGACGCTTCTTTAGACAGAGAAGCATTGGAACGAGGAAGTATTGGACAAGAACGGAAGCCAAGGACAATAGAGATGCGGGCCAAGAAGAGCATTCGGGGATCCTCTTACGAGGCCGAATTACGCAAGTAGACAGCAGCAAATGGGGTAATTCAAAGGTTTAGAAAGACGCAAGATTAGAATGCGCAGGTGTGGTGAGGGGAAGTTTGGAGTTGGGAGGTCCCTTCCCCGGATTGTCTTGGATGAGGCGCTAAACCCAAAATAAGCACTAATTCATATGAACAACAACGTCCATTCGTCTTTTGCACCGAATGCAATATTCGGTAGTAGAAATACTGTCTACTTGCAGAGAGTTCCAAGCCTCCTCAACGCTGATCCCTTTGACCAGCAGGACGACTCCACTCTCGTTCCTGGTTCGAATTCATCCGTATGAAGATGAACCAACAAGATGAGTACCGGTTTTCCACCACAAGCAATGACCAATCGAATGATGACCCCATGGTCTTTTCCATTTTTGAACCCAGAGCCCCAGAACGCCATGCCAATATGCGCGAAATGTGAAAGCAGATGCCCGGCTAACAGGTCGTGCCTGAACCCGAGCCGGATCCTTTTCCTGAACTGTCGCGATCAGAACCAGAGTCCTTTCGTGAACCATCCTTGCCGGCATTCTAGGCCTGTCCTAGAGGCGCGCCCATATTCATCCTGGGTGGCTTGAGTCGGACTCCATCGACGACTTCGACCTGCGAGTCGGTCGAACCCTGTCGACTACCGTGTCCACCAGCGTCGGCGCTCTGACTTGGGCCCGACTCCGTCACTGTCTGCTCGTAAGTTCCCTGCTCTGAAGCAATCCTTTCCAGCACTGTATCCAAGGCTTTTAGTTCTATCCGGTCCTCTGACCCATCACCAGGCAGAGCAGGCAGCATCAGAGGTCCCTCTAGGCTCGCGTCTTGTTCTGGCTCGGGCGTCGACTCGCGGCTTTGGTCGCTGCCGGGCGGTAGTGGCGACAAGGAGCGGCCGGGCTTGATCGGGGTGTGCCCTGCATGGAGCCTGTTGTTTGCTGGCAGGGGCGACAGGACAGCCTGGGTGGGAGGTGGAGATGGAGGTGCGTCTGTATTATCGAGACCTGAGGGTGGCAGTGAGATACGAGCCACAAGATTAGGCCGCTTCTTACGAAGCAGCATACTTGGTGAAGCATCAGGGTTGGCAGTCTCCATCATTGAGGCCGGAAGTGTAGCTTCGTTGTGCGGTGGCTGCGACAGGTTCTTATCCTGCGTATCTTCGGGCGGAGTTGTGGACTGGTCGACGAGTATGGGCGGTATTGGGACTGGATGTTTTGCTAATCCCGCTATTGTAGTCTGCGCGGATTTATCGACGTAGTCGGGCATCGTGATGTACTAGATGCTAGCGTTAGGCATGCAGCGAGACGCGGTTATCCGGGCGGACGGACTATATACTGGAAGCTAGCGATTGGAGCTTGTGTTCAAGACTGAAGATCCCCGTGTCGGGGTGTTTGTTTGCGGTAGTCGAGTGTTTGGGCTGAGCAAGCTTTCTAGCGAACGATGTCGGGTTTAGCTGATTTGGAAGTAACGAGGCGCGGTGAATGTGGACAATGAAAGTGATTTCGGAGGATACATCTGGTGTTATATCGCCAGTCGTCTAGCGCAGGCATCGGCGTGTTGATTGTGAGTGAAATGGAAGGAGACCTCCACGTCATATGGCCCAAGCGTTCAGGTACGACTCGGCGAGCAGCTGAATGAAGCCACGACACCCGCATGGAGTGCTCTCAGCCTGCAGTACTAAGACAAAAGTCTGGGATAGTGCCACCTCAAAATTGCGCAAAATGTACGTAGATGCTTGCCTAGGTGCGTACCAATGGTCCACGGTTCTGTGTACTTTCTACTTGACCACTGCGTCAAGGGTTTTTTCGTCAGATGATCTAACGCTAGTCTTCGATTAGTCAAGCTTAGCGAGCCCTCGAAATCGAAGAAGTTGACACGTGACCTTTGCCGGACACCCCAGTTCTCCACCACCACCCCCCCTATCTCTGAACTGGCAAAAAGAACCGAATGCTGGTCAGTACGGGGGTCGAACCCGCGACCTTGGCGTTAACTAGCTTTAGCTATTAGCACCACGCTCTAACCAACTGAGCTAACCGACCGGTTTTGATTTATGAATGTTTTGGACGTCTGACATCAATATATACTAAATTTTGCTCAGTCTGCAGCGCGACAGGACTATCTTGATCAAAACATCTTGGTATGACTAAGAGATACGCGGGACATTTCTAAGCGAACAGAGATGTCATACTTCATAGCCTTGTGGACCCCGCTACCAGATTTCGATGAAACCACGACAGTTGGAAGACGTGTGAACAGCCGCGCCTCTGCGCCTATCAAGGCTCTTCTACGACCCACATTCGAGTCTGTAGCCCTCTTTCTCGGACATCTGCTCCGCGCAGAGCTTTCTTTTTCTCCAGGCCGGGGTTGGCCGTCGAAGTTGCTTCCCATGACTTGTCCACCGCGTTGACTAGTACTATACTACGTAGTCTTTGCAGTTTCATCACCACGTTTGCCGTTCGCCATGAAAGACCCCACCGAATATGAATTGTAACATGCTAAGAGACGGTTGATGGAGAACGAGCAGACGCCTTACTCGAATAGGACGAGACATCAGTTCAGACAATCTGCGAGGGGTAAAACTCGTGTTCATAAGAGCTTCCAATCGGAGTTGCAAGTAACCTCAGGAGAGTCAAACATCACCGACAGAGGCATCGACGAGCAAGAATCAAGCAAACGCTTTCTGATTTCGGACCCCACGAACTGTTCACCCATCCCTGGAGTAGTGCAGTGTTCCACCCACGCGGTACACCGCGCCTTCCCAATTAGGAAGTTTACCAGTTCAACTTCTGTTGGACCCCGGGACCTCATCGCTACAAGAAGTGCTGGAGACTGGATAATCTAGAGCCGTCCCAGCTAAGACCAACCCAGCTAAAGCAATACCAAGAAAAGAGCTGGACGAAAGAGACAGAAGACAACATACAGGTCGCTAGACAGGCAAACCACCATGTCATACCAATCCTCAGAAGAAGACCTCCCCCCCTTTCCCACCCCCGAAGACTCCACCATAACCCTCGACGGCAAGCCCACTGCCAAAATCCACTACACCTACTACGCCCCCTCGCCCTCCTCAACCCACCACCCAAACCCCTTCGCACAAACCCTAATCGTCTATCTCAACGGCCTGATCCTGCCCCGCGCCTCCTGGACCCCATCCATAAACTCCTTCCTCGAGAAACGCATCACAGCAAGACTTCCCTACCCAGCCCTGCTAACCTATGACCGCTATGGCCAAGGCACCTCAGACCACGACCCCTCGGACCCGGACCCGCCACCTAGCCATGGACATGATTGCATATCCGCTGTACACGCACTGCACCAACTCCTCCTGCAACTCTGGGCCTCGAAATCACCACCACCATCCGCATCCACTTCGCAGCACCACACCCCCTCCATCTCCTCCTCAGCATCCTCACCCCAGGCCCTGCCCCACCTAATCTTCGTAGCCAACTCCATCGGCTGCGCCCTCGCGCGGCTCTTCGCCTCCGCCTACCCATGCACCGTCTCGGGCCTTCTCTTCCTAGACTCGATAATGGCCAACTCGGACAACGTATCCATCTGGCCGGACCCGGACGCGCCGGACTTCGATCCGCACACGCTGCCCCCGGGGGTCAGCGTCGACGACGTGCGGGATACGCGGTCCAAGTATGCGCGCGTGTTCCATCCGGATGTGCCCAACTCGGAGGGCCTGTCGAGAAGGAATCTAGCGGCGTTGTTGCCGGAGGCGGATGGGCCGCTGTTGCGAGGGACCTCAGATCCCGAAGGTAAAGGAGGCGACGGTCCCTACCTAACCATCGTCGGCCACGACTGGGCCGAATTCGCCTCGCAAGGTTTGACCGGCTCCCTGCACACGCCCAAAGCCTTAACGATGACGTATATGAACCCAGCGTGGCAGTCGTACAACGAGGGGCTGGTGCGGATTACGGATGAAGGGCGGGCGATTGGGCCGCTGATTGCGGTGGGGTGTGGACATTTTGTGCAGAGGGATGGGCCCGGGTTTGTTAGTGATGAGGTGGTTAGTCTGTTGGATCGCGTTGTTAATCGGGGGGAGCAGTTGAGGGAGAGGTGAGAGGGGAGGAAGTTTTAGGTAGGGGATGGAGGGAAGGGAGCGGGGTGGGGGAGAAGGATAAGGAAGGGGGCATGAACCTCTGAAGAGGGGAAAAGGGGGAGCGGAGTTGGAAAAAGATGCGGAACACACACATGCACATATACATCTGAGTTGCACATTAGCGCCACATACGGAAAACATCATGACAGCGTTGGTACATAACGGCCTCGGAAAGGAGGATAGCATACAAGGGCGTACAAAAAGCAGGCACATCCATCTACGCAGGATCTATCACGAATTGGAAACAATATCCAACCACCTCACACTACACCTGTGGCACAAGCTTGAGAATGGTATGATATGATATGATATGTATGATATGTACTCGTCCTCACCCACTCGATACCTACTTTGGCCCCACTCACCTTACCGCGCAGGCGCAGACACAGCATGCCAAACCCGTTAGCTATACTCGTAAATATAGTAAGTATGCCGAAGCAATATGTGTCCAAGCAGATATTCCACCCACCCACGTAAGTCATTGCCCCTGCCTCCACCCAGCCCAGCCCAACCCCAAAACGCCAATATGCCTTAGATAAGATGAGAGCAGACGGCCACTCAGTCCCAAGTTCAACGCCTGTAATAATGCAAGTTTCTCCGACCACATGCATGCTTCCACCTTCATAACAGACCATGTCGAGTCGTTCGTGTCCGAGGCTCTGCTTAGTCCTGAAAGATATACCCCCCGGCTGGCCAAATCCGTCGTATCATGATTAGAAGTTAAAAGCCCTCCATATCGCCCATGATCTCCATATCCTCATCCACCTCACGACCACGCTCGCGCTCGCGCACCTTCTCCACACGTCCGACGCGAATCTCAGGTTCTTCGAGCCGCACCCCTTTTCCCTTTTCCCTATGCTTTTCCCGTTCCCGATCCTTCTCCTTCGATCTCGGCTTCTCCTTGTCTTTGTCCTTCTTATCTCTCTCCTTCTCCTTAGCCCCACTAACAAGGTCCTTCTTCTCCCCATCCCCCAATCCCGCCTTCTCCGCCGCCGCAATCCGCACGCTCAACGGCCGACTCTTCATGTAGCTCTCCAGATAACTCGCGCCCAGACTGCTCGGATACCCGTAGCTGCCTGCCTGGTCCACGTCGTCGACGCCCGAGCCCGTGATGCCGCCCACGTACGTGTCGAAGTCTTCTTCGCCCTCGCCGGAGCGGTCAGCCGCGCCTATGCGGTCCTCAAAGTCGTCGTGGGCGTCCATCTTGTGCGTTTCGAGCTCGTCGGCGATTTCGGACCTGTCGGCGTAGATGGGCGATGCCGAGGCGTGCTGGGGCATGATCATGTCGGATGTGTTTGGCGGGGATGGGTTGAGGAAGGTGCGGGTTGCGGCCTGCGGGGGTTCGTAGTCGAGGGGCGAGGGGGAGGCGGATAGACTGTGGCCGGTATGCTTGGTAGGAGACATGTTGGTGAGACCCATAGGCACAGGAAGGCTGTGGTGCACCGGATCTTGATGGACTGGAGTATCATGGCGGGGGACCAGGCGTGGGTCGATCATGTCGTCTAGAGATGTTGTTGAGGTGGAGGCTGTTGAGGCGCTGGTCTCGCTTGGCGACGTCAGGGCCGGCTCCACGACATCGTCCCGTGGGTTCACAATCTGGTCGTCAATGACGAGGCTCACTCTCTTCCTGCGCGACCGTTGGCTGGTGCTGTGGCGCAGCGAGGACTTCTTGGCTGGAGATCGCTTCATCTTTTTGGCCGATTCAGACTTGGAGCTGTCTCTTGCGCTGTCCTTGCCTGTGACGCTCTCCTCGTCGTGCTCCATCTTCTCCCCTGGGTTCTTGCTCCGTGATCTTCGCCGCTCCCTGCTCTTTTCAGCATCTCTCGGGGGCGATGGCTGGTCTGACCGCAGCGGTGGAGTGGCCGGCTCTTCGCGAATCTCGTCCTTGGGCCGCTTCTTTTCCTTTTTCTTCTTGGCCAGCGACGAGTCACCAGACTCGAGGAGCGGCAGGAATATCGGCGTCACCAGGCCATAGAGCTCTTTTTCGCGTTTGTGGACACGTGTGTGCTTTGTGCGTTTAGCCGTCTCGCCCGGCCCGAGCGTCTTCGCCTCTGTCGACGCGTCCGCCGGCGGTGAGGGCGCGCGAGGGGTTCTTGAGTGAGGGCTCGCAGCAGTCGGCGGCGACGGCTTCAAATCTCTCGCTCCGGACTCGCGGCGGGGCGCGGTGCATTCCATGGCGCGTTGACGGTGCTGCTCAGCGAGCTAATCCCAATTAGCTCTATCAGAATCAGAAGCCCGGCAGCCGCGCACGGCAGGAGCGATCGACTACTACCTCACGGCCATAGCTGCGCAGCTCGTCCTGCTTGCGCCTTATGTAGTCATGGATGTCGGCCTCGAGCTGCTGCTGCTTGCGCTCGACGCTGGCGGTCAGGCTGGCCAATTGCTCGGGGCTCACGTCTGGGACCTCGGCCAGACTCGGGTCGGCGCTCAGAAGCATTTACTGTGGTGGGGAGAAGGCCGCCCGGGGGGAATGACACGGTCACGGGGGGAGTCCTGCGGCTCTCACCTGGGGCAGGGCTCTCAGGTTATTATGGTACAAGTATACAGGGCTGCGTGGCCGTGGCAGCAGACGTGGGCACCTGAGGAGCGACGTGTCAGTCTTTGAGGTTGCGGACAGCAGCCAGGCACCCGTTGCGGCGCCCGGTGCAGTGCAGAGTGAATGTGAATGGTACCTCGACTTCCGCGAGAGTGACGCATCCGGAACGGCGGAGGACTATTGGTGACGCGGGGAGGTCACCGGGACACGCCTGGTGTGGCTGGCAGGTCGTCTAAGCCGTGCGGTACCTGGGTACGCGGGTCGGCAGTGAGGGAGAGCAACAGCTGAAAGAGCGGGCACGAGTGGGCTCACGCGGGCGGCGCGGACGGCCAGGGCAATTGGGCTCTTAAGAGGGACGAGGGGAGAGGGCGCGAAAACTCTGCTGTTCACACTGCGAA